ATATGTACTTAAGAACTAACATATACTCATTGTGTTCACGATTTAATAGCAGCGTCATATTTCGATTCACTTTTACGGTTTGGTTTTAATCTACAGTTTTCGTAGTTCACGGACGATAAATGTGTTATTTGTCGACATTTGAATATTATGCTAACTAGTGTATACCTAATTGTAGTAATAAATATTTACTAATAATCATGTTTCTTTATAAAAAAAAACACCGATGTGATAGTAATAATCTCGAGCTTAAAATCGTAAAGTTAATTTGAAGCATGTCAGCAAGTAGGTAGGTATGTCTCGCGAAAACTAAAGAAACTACTAGTCGTTTTATGAACCTAAAACTTTATATCAACCTATTTGGTAAATAAATAATATATTAAAAATAAATAAGAAAAGACGCTTTGATAGAAAATCCCTCTAAAAAATAGAAAATAAATTTTCATAAATTTGAATTAAAAATAGTGTAAGAAAAAATAATTTTATTGTAAAAAAGCGTGGGGTGCTTTTCAGGATATTATCAAAATAACCCTTCTACTCATATCTGTTCATAAAATATTTATAACTACTGTTACCATGCACTCCACGCATTTTTTTACAATTAAATCATTTTTTCTTACACTAATTTTAATTCAAATTTATTAAAAAAAATATATTTTTAGTTGGATTTACTATAAAAGCGTATTTTTGTTAGTTTTTTTAAACTATTCTTTATTTTTCATTTTGTAGTTGAATTTAAATTTTTCATTTTTTTATAAATATTGAATTGTCATCGGTTCTTAATAAGTATACCAAATTCCGAGTTAATCCGACCTTTTGAAGGGGGTCAAAATCATGTTCAAAGATTCCATTACAAACATACATACGTCTGAAGCTAATAAAAACGTATTAGAAACAGTGGCTGCTTTGTCTGCTTGTGACGAGCCGTGACGCGATACCACGTGACACGGAACCTTTGACCGCTCGTGGTGCCATCTACAATAATTGTAAATAGACATGCTTTAACAAAAACCGACTTAAAATAGAAAAAAAATTATTCCAAAACAGATTTCAAAACAAATTAATAAGTATACACTAAAAACAATAATCATCGAAATCGGTTGGCGTGATATTGAGTTATTCATCTATTTATCGCGCACGTACTTAATGTAAATTTAAGACTTATATGGTTTTCTCATGGATACAATTATCAGAACTGGACTAAATTGTAATGGGACCACACGGGAAGCGTCAGCTTTCTAATAAAAAAATAATCATCAAAATCGATTCACCCAGTCAAAAGTTATAAGGTAACAAACATAAAAAAAATATACAGTCGAATTGGGAACCTCCTCCTTTTTTGAAGTCGGTAAAAAAGTTCGTCATTTTTTCTCTTTTCTGTAACAGACACGTAACCGATACGCAATATGTAACATGTTTGAGCGTGTTATCATAGTAACACGTCTACTGTAACGGAAACAAGACAAAACACAGTTTTCTAAACAAGCTCCTCTTTACCGGGATTGTGTTACAAGTCTTAACGTCAATCATTCGTTCTAACTAATTAAAATGTAATTTAAGATGTTTTATTTTGTGTAATTTTTTTGTTTTATGATTGCGTTCAATGCTTATTCAATATTTTTTTAGCTGCATTTAGTGCACGTTTGTAAAATATAAAATACCTCGCAATTTCATTTCATTATTATATAATTTCATTATTATGAAAACTTAAATGAAAGTTTTAATGTGACTACTATTGCCATCTAGGGGCGAGTAGACTCCTGGGTGCCATTCCTTGCTATATGGTCGTGTAGCGACATCTGCTATCGAATAGACTAAACTAAAACTATCTGTTTAAAAACATAATATTAATTAGTGCTTATTAATAAAAATTGTGAATGACTTTACACTATATTAACCATAGATTATACACGTAATATTTATAATAACATTATAATATTGTCGTTTTGGGGTGGAATAATAATTGAGAGTTTTCAAGTGTTAGAGCTACAAGAGGCGTCATTTATATTATTTTTTTAAAGTAACTAGGATCTCTATATTTATAAGATAATTAGTTAAAGTTTTTCTCACAATTTAACCTTAAGGGTTTTAATGGGTAAATGAAAACGCAAGCAAAACATAAAACATATAAATATATGTATGTATGTACTTTAGACAATAAGTTTGTAATGTTATTTAAAAAAAAACCATCCATTTTTGGAGGAATGAACAACGGCCCCCGCATTGTAAATATGTAATCTTAATTTCGTAATATTACGTTACTGTAAAATAGAAATAGTAACGAATAAAAACCTAACTACGGCGTATCCATTTTGAGAATCGATGTAAATTAAGCATTTTACGATCTTTTAAGCCATCTAGATATATTCGTAAATCAAACTTCAATCAAATTGCCTACCGAGCGGGCCGAACCTTTTCTCTGTTGGACCCTCTGTCGAAATTCCTCTAAACATCAAAATTGACAGCTCATTTCAACATTTCGCAAAAATCAGTGATCCGTCGCGAATCCAACACCTTCAGTGCATCTGTATGTGTAATGATGTATTAGTATGTAACAATAAAAAAATATTCCTAATCAATCTACGTTCCCACGTCAAAGAATGGAAACCAAATCGTTGGAGCGAAATAATCGGACTTCTGACTCTTTTTTTGTTGAACTTTCCATTCAATTTGAAGATCGACTTTTGAGGGACTGAAAGAGTTTATATTGTATTCTTTTGGAATGTCAAACTTATTAATATTGTAATCTTTTTCGATTCTCATTTTATATTGTTTATATCAACATAATCATAAACACATTTACACTCGCACGATTTAAATTTTTTTATATAACAGAGTTATGATTTGGAACAGATACTTGTGCTTGAAGGGAAAAACCCTTTACGGCAGGTGACCCATCGGGTAAAATTAATAGATTGGGGAAAAAGTATTTTCGCTTTATAGTATGTATTAACTTGTAATCTCTTTGGCTATACTATTTGCATCTTACCTGCACCATATCGAACAAAATGGTACCTACATACTTTAGTTAAATGTAAATAAACTATATTAAAAAAATTGAGAATTTTCGTAAAAAATGCGAAGAAACTTTTTCCCCAACCTATTGTATTATTTAGTTAAAGGGAAAGCAGTCGAGACGAGCTGACACGTTCAAGAAAAGGTCTTGTTTGCCATGGTGCCACGTCCGGAATACCTTCGCGAGCTTCTCCGTATTGTGGTTTTATTCTAGTTCATGTTTCAAGCGGTTTTTAGTTTCTGAGTTATTTAGTAAAATAAACTTTTAAAACGTTTTGACGCCTTAACATAACGAATCTGTTGTGACATACTTCACACCTGTGTGCTTAGTGCGAGTTTTTTAACGTTCTCGTTAGTGTAAAAGTTAACTAAAATTTGTATAGACTTAGAACATTTGCCTACGTTTGCCGCTAGGGGCGCTGTCATGATAAACTCTTTGCAATGATCAGTTTTCATTACTGGTATAGGTATAGGTGTAAATTTCATAGATGTACAGGTGAGCTCACACCGCTTGTGGCAGGGGAGCCCGCCGAGTTCAAGCAGGTAACATTATTACCACGTACCCCAAGACAGTTCAAAGTTTGGTTCATTCGACTATCCGACCCGGCAAAAAAAGGTAAGTATACTTATAGGCATACTTATAGGCGTGCGAGAACGCACAATTTGCTCATCACAGTAGGTACGTAAATTTATAAGCTTTATGGATTTCATTTTTGATTCAGAATATTTGTTATTCACCATGGAAGTCTCGTCACTTTCAACAATTACATTACATCTCGCCTTTCATACAGAGCACTCTTAAGATAATGAATTCAATGTACATTTAGAGAAATTGTGTATGTCTTATCTTTCTTCAATTTTACTCATCAGGAAGGAAGAGTTGATTTTTGTATTAAAATTATCAATCCAATAAACGCCATCTATGTGTGAGTAGTTAAACATTAAAACAAATTCTGTACCGTTCCGTTCGGTGTAAACCAAATGATTCATTGAAAATAACAAAATTATACAATAAAAATACTAGGAATGTAATGAATGTAAATGATTAAGGGTACCTTTATCGCTTACAATTAAGGTAAATGTAATATACCTATGTATTTCATATTACTGTATTGTCTTCAGATATTTGCCAAGTTGAAAACAAATTATGATGGGGTATAAAATTTAATTTAAAGAGTCGACGACTATTACTTATAAACCGAATTACTTAATAGAAAAAAAGTTAAAATACAAATGAAATCGAATATTTTTGGTTGTTCCTTAGAATAAATAGCACAACTCCATCCCGAGGCAGCAGCATTCTCAGAGTATTATACCTCACGTCCTTACGGATTCATCAGATCCAATAACCTTTGCATTAGACGCCTTCAGCTCTAACACAAGGAGCAGGCTTAGGGACCACGGTAACCGTACTCGTCGAACTCGGCAAAGAGGTCGACGTGCAACCTAACCCATGCATGAGCCCACTGAGTTTCTCGCTGAATCTTCTCAGCGGCTCGCGATTCCGAGCCGGTGGTAGATTCTACGAAGCGCTGCTCTTATTAGCGGCTTTTTTTTCTACCTATAAGGCTATATCAGCGTTACCCTAGCGTGTAGGTGAGCTCTCGGGACTCAAACCGGAAGTGTTGCTAACACTGGCCGAATCAAGAGCATTGCTTTGCAGAGTCTACCACCGGATCGGAAACGCGACCCACTGAGAAGATTCAGCGAGAAACTCAGTGGGCTGTGTCTATGGATTAAAATTAGAGGCAGTGTTAGCAGTTCTCTCAGATTGAGCCCGTGAGCTTACCTACCGGTACGAGAGTTCTGGAGCATTCCTTAGGCTACCAATTATTAAGTAGGAAAAGAATAAATTGTTTTCCTTAAATTTAACACTGACCTATACTTAGAAATAATTATGTATTGCATTAGGCCTATCGGTATACATAAATAAAACAAATCTCAAATTCACAAGTTTATTACATATTATATGATACTGTATAATTTTCTTTATTAGATACACGCTTGTATATGCTAAAATATACACAATATACAAACAAGGCCAAACTTCTATGCGATTAGATTTCGGGGTAGACTGGAACATGCGGTTAAACAATTAGAATTATTGCACTCACGTTTTTACAATATAAACCTTTCTATTTTTATTATTTTATCGAAATCTTTATTCATCAAACTTTTAATCGTTAGTTGAAGATTGGTCCACCATCTCAGAAAATCGTGCTAATAAGGATAGGGGCCTTGAAAAAAAAATCTGTACAAGAGAAACTAATTTGTAATAGCTTTTGTCTTTCGATTTGAATTAAGTAAATCAATTTTCAAACAATTTAAATACCAACTGGGTGTACTTAATGAAAACGTCCCTGAAGAGAAGAACGAACTGCCGGCTTCTCATGCGATGATAACATTAGACAAGTTGTGATAGAAAATTTCATTTACTAAATTCTTTCTTCTACAAAAGCACGCAATGTAACACAAGTAAAGAGGTGAGGTTAACGACCTCGAGGCATACGTCACACGCCCGCCGGCTGTATTCGCTCTACCGGAACAAGTATATAGCTCAGCAATAATTAAAAAAAAACGTTCGATTTTCTATATTACATGAAATCTTCATAGAAATTTAAAAAAAACAGAGTCCCCACATTCACACTTGTGTATAGTTTACAATAAGCAACGTCAGTAACAGGTAGCTTATTTTTTAATGAATGTCAACATAAGCTAAGCCTAATGATATTTAAAATATGAAAGGCCTAACAATGCTGTTCAACATTGATTATACAATATCAATAATCACATTTTCCAATGGCACAAGAATTATTTATCAATGAGAATGTTTACAAGACTACACTAATATTTAATCAGACAAAAATGGTTACCAACAATTTAGTTAAGAATATCTTTTGAGGCTTTTTGAGCTTATATTTTATCTAGACTAATCTTTTGTAAAGTACAAGCAAAAGCTTCATCATACTCATCTAAATAACAATTCATATTTTACAAAGGACAAGGTGTAACATAAATTGAGTACTTATCTTTAAAATCTATATTAAAAATACTAAACAAATGTGTAAAAATTACATGTATTGTATTTTTATTTGAAAACACCTTAAATTAGCAACTATGTCTATAGGAATATTCTTGTTTAACAATAAAATGTCAAGTTGTCTTGTTTCTTATAAGGGAAGTGTCATGTAAAAAATTGTAAAAGATTTTCTAAAAGGCTTTTTTTTATTGCTATGATTCATAATTATTTTTTATGTGCTAACGTTTATACAGATTGGTGTCTTACGTTTACTGTATAAAATATGGTATATATTGAAATTTATGGAAAGAACAACATTAGATAGAATTAAATTACACAGACAAAATTTTGTTTTCTTTTATATTGCCACTGAACATAAACAACAGTACAAAGCTAAATAAGTGTTTTTTATTATTAAAATAAGTTACTACTACCAAGAAAGGTTCACTATAGAAACATACCATGAAAGTGGTAAATAAATAATTTTGCAAGTATGTACTAATGTGAAAATGAATATCAAACGATTCAAAAGATATTATAACCGTTCTATTTGAATAAAAGCTTTCCTTTAAATTGACTACATTTTAAGATACAGATTTCTTACGTTAAAGCATTTTGATACTGGATTATATTATTATGTAGTTGCTAGATGTAAGCTATGTGCTGTATGTACACCTAGTCTGAAGTACACCAAGTCATGTGTAGTCTTTGATCACAGAGTCCTCTAACTTAGCTTATGAACAAAAGAACTTCTTCTGCAAAGGTTCACTATCATTATCACTGTCAGAAAAACATGCTTTGAAGCCACTCTTGTCTCTTAAGGAGTCTTTTTTAACTCGTTCACTTTTACGAGTAGCCACTGTCCGGTTCGGTGCTGTCTTTTTAGGTGTTCTCTTCTTTTTAGGGGTTTGCTTTTCTTGACTAGCTGCATTCATACTGGTCAAAGAACTAATTTTCTCTGTAGAGTTGCTATTGACTAATGCTGAATGTTCTTGTCCCGTAGCTTTAGAGCTACGAGTGTTGTATATTACTTCTCTTGAATTGTCAGAATTCCTGTTTCTTTTTGGATATCTTGATGTACTTTGGAAAGAAATATTCAAATCTACTTTCTTTTGGCTCTTGTTTACAGATTTAGAAGCATCCATTACCTTTATATTAATATTGTTTTTGCTCGTTTTAGTTTTATCATTTTTTACGTTTACTGCATTCATAATATTTGAAGATTCTGTACTACAATTCAGTGGCAGGTGGTTTGGTGGTCCTATCATTGGCTTGTCAACATTCACACTATCATCATCTCTTTGATTTGATTGTTTCACTAAGCTCCTACAATTTTTCACTCTTAATTTACGAGGAGTTTTCCTCGACTGTTGCTTGGTTGACCTGATATAGTTAGCCGTGAGGCCCGATACATCACTGAAGTCTTCAAACTGTCCGTTCAACCCATCCTTTTTAGAAACATTCTTAGTTGTCATATTTCTTCGGTCTACAATTGGACTTGTTCCATCAGTAGTGTTATTGTAATTGTGAGTATTATGTTCTCCTAAATTATTCTTTAAATGCCTACCATTAACTACACTAGTGTTATTTAAAAAGGAACTATTTAAATGGCTACTATTGAAAGTTTGTTTTGTATTTCTCAGGCTTCGTCTCAGAGACGTTATTTTCGGTGTAGATGTTATAATGTTATTTTGCTTCTTGTGTGGAGTAGGNCCATCAGTAGTGTTATTGTAATTGTGAGTATTATGTTCTCCTAAATTATTCTTTAAATGCCTACCATTAACTACACTAGTGTTATTTAAAAAGGAACTATTTAAATGGCTACTATTGAAAGTTTGTTTTGTATTTCTCAGGCTTCGTCTCAGAGACGTTATTTTCGGTGTAGATGTTATAATGTTATTTTGCTTCTTGTATGGAGTAGGTTGACTACCTTGTAGTTTAGACCTTTTCTGTTTTTTATTACATGGTGAATTTTTAATATTAAAATCAACATCTGAACCAACAGAGTCTGATTTGCTAATTATCACAGTATTTTTATTGTGTTTCTGAGACACATCAAAGTACAAATTCTGTTGTTTTTCCACTGAGGCAGAATCGTCATCTAATATAGACAATTTTCTTTTCTTCGTGATCTTTGGTGAAGGCACCTCTTGAATTGCACTGCTAACACTTTTTGATGCAGCTTTTGAACACTGAGCCTCAACATGTTGCTTTTTTATTAAGTTGTCATAGTTCATGAGGCACGGAGCCCGCTTAGTATAAATCCAATAGGATATTTCATCCATGTTGCTCATCAAGGGCAGCACAGAAGTTTCATGTTGGTCAACATTTTGTTCAGGTTTGCGCGCACTATACTGAGGGCGACGGTGGTTTGCATCAGGAATCGTGCAGGTAAAATCCAAATGCAGATCAGTGGCTCGAACACGCTTAGCTTCCCGCGTATATTCTGTCGAAATCCTACTTTCTTGCCCCGATTTGACGCAACCCCGTCCATATTCCTTGTGTACTTCACATTCCATACACCTAAAAAATTACTTAGCAATACATTCTAAAGTAATGCTTCGTTTTAAGATAAAAAGGTAGCGGTCTACTGACCTGTGTTTTCAATTCCCAAAAGGTAATTTCGTATTTTTTAAAATCTATAATTTTACGTACATAAACACGTAATCTTTAACCGACAAACAAGATTGTTAAAGACGAAAACTGTGCAATTTCTCCAGCCTGAACATTCAATTTTATGCGAATATTATATATAACTAGTAACTATTAATAATGGTAAATACTTTACAAATTCAACCAATCTTAAAATAATCGTTAACAATTTATTTTAAGAAATCAACAAAAAGCAAACGCGTTACTACGGCGGAATTTGTCAGTTGCCATAAACAATTAGCTTCGTTTTTTTTTTCGAAATTCATCATTCAGAGATCATGGATTTAGGCAGGTAGAAGTCTCAATGTTGTGTTTTAATATTTGGTTATACTGTTTCTTTTTCATCACACACGAAAAATTATGACCGTCTAGTTTTCGGCTGCAATACTTGAGTATAACCCTGACCTCGATGCTGTTCACATTTTCTGGGAGATAGTTATCAGCAGATGGCGCTCTCAAGACTTGTGAAATAATCAGACGTGAGCTTTCTAAATAGTCTTCAATTGTATGGATAGGTTATGATTTTATTACAGCCGAACTCAGCCGAAGAGTAAAGGTATTTAAGTAATAGTAAAGAGAAGCCAAATTAAGTAGGTACAACGATCGCAGGTATTAGGCATAGAGTTAGTATTATATAATAGTTGTAGGTACTTATTAACTCCATGATACTAGGTCACTTTTTAGTCATAGTATTATTAAGTATAATCTATGCCTTTAATTGCTTTTTCGCGCCTCTGGACTTTTTTGCGGGAACACGAGGAGTGAAGTTGTGTGATTTATTTTATTTTGTCTATTTAGTGTTTCTTCAGATTTAAATGTATAATAACACTGGTTTAACTGTTTAGTATCTGTGAAAGTGTACAAATGTGGGAAAATCAAACAAAACTGCTGAACGTAACTTCTCGGGATCCTCCAAGAAGTCCTCTGAAAAAATTTCAGTAAATGACCACCATTTTACTGAGATTATATTTTATACCATATCATCTCATCTCATTTCATTTCATATCACCGTATCACTTCGTAATATCATTTTTCATAAAAATAAGAATATAAATTAAAATAAGACTTGACCTAAAGGTCTTAGCTACCAGGTCATAAAATCCCTTAAAAACTAATAATAATTTCGCGCCTCTTTTAATAAATGTCAGATTTGTTGTGTTTAACGTGTTTTGTTCAAGAAGTTTGTCGAAGAATCCAGAGTTTTAAACTTTTAAATGTTTAGCTACCATTAATTTATAATGAAATCATGAATAATATACAAAATTTGATCGATCGTGAACTCGGTCTCCGTAAGTACTTGTGAATTAGTATGTAAGAGGAAAGGGCAATTGTTGTAAAGATTTGAAAAATCAATTGGAACTGTCTTTNTTTAACGTGTTTTGTTCAAGAAGTTTGTCGAAGAATCCAGAGTTTTAAACTTTTAAATGTTTAGCTACCATTAATTTATAATGAAATCATGAATAATATACAAAATTTGATCGATCGTGAACTCGGTCTCCGTAAGTACTTGTGAATTAGTATGTAAGAGGAAAGGGCAATTGTTGTAAAGATTTGAAAAATCAATTGGAACTGTCTTTACAGATTGCCGGTTTAATTACGATACGGTACTGAAGCGGCTAGTGGTGAACAGCGAGGAATCGTTTTATGGGCTCCAATCCTCAAATGTTGTAGCAAATTTTGAACAGGATCCTCCGATATTCGCTTGTAGATTTGCTGAAACATCTGGCTATGAACACATACTGGCTCTTGCTAACGAAGATGGAAAGGTTGCTATTCAGGTAACATACATATCTTTGTCCTTCAGATATAGGCAGTTCACAACCAGAAATATGAACAAAGCACTGTATGGTGAATGAAATAATATCATTTTCTCGTAATCTTTTGACTTTTGTAACATTGGTCACTTGTATTAGGCCTTGTAATAGAGCCCATTGCATTGTACTGGATTTGATATTTCAAAGAAAATTTAGAAAGGGTTTATGTTATAGCACAAAAGTTTTTTAGAATCATAATGATAATGGATATTGCCAAGGTTCTTTGCCTCATTTTTGTTTTTGAATACATTACTAAAATTTTTTTTTGTTGACTAATGCAACTTAATGTTTATTTAAACCATAACTGAAAGTTAATATGAATTTTATTGGCTTTGTATTGCAATAGGTGGGTATATGTTGTTTTTTTAAATAATATAATAATAAAATTGTTACTTTTATACCATAATTAGCCAAGTCTCATAAGATTAGGTAGCTTATTGTGGGTCATCACAGGTTCAAATAACCAAGAAGTACTTCTAATGTATGCAGTACTTTTACTCTATTTGAGTCGACTATTATCAAAGCCGGCAATCTGACTTTTGGACAATGATTGGTAAATCAGAAAAACTAATTATTGACTTTGTATTTCATTGGCAGTCACAAAACTCTTCGGAACTACATCTTAGATAAATAACAGGTTAACTATTAACCTTTCTTTAATGCAGGTTTTGAACCGTATTCTTTGAAGGAGACGATTATATTCAAATCTATCTGTAATGACATATCAATTAAAATTTTAGTCCAAATGCACAGATTGCCACCTTTGATAATAGACGACTCATTTATTAGTTTGTGAAAATCGAATATGTAATATTTAAGATTTTCTTAGAATTTGTTGATGGGAAACTAGAAGCAACAAATACTCCCTTTAGTGGTATCTTGATTACGTAAAACAGGAACTAAGTGATTCACGTGCTCACAAATAGATCTCATCAATACATTTTTTTTATTACCCTTGTAGGCAGATGACATATGGCCCAATACTCGTAAGGTGAATGGTTACTGTCGCCCATGGACATCAGCAATACCAGGGGCAGAACTAAGCTGCTGTCTACTATTAATTGAATGTATTATATATAGTATAAATAGTACTTGTAGTCAAGAAAATAGTGGGTATTATGTAGCAGTTTAAGGCAATTTAGTTCAGGCTCGATTGGAATAATATAAAAGATAATTTTCATTTGTTTTGCTTGTGGTCAGAGAAGAGGCTAATTGGTTTAAAATGGAATTTGGTTATGATATCATAATTATAATATAATATAATATATTATATTTTATTTTATTTATACTTTCTACAATTTTCCAGGACACATCCACACAAAAGACAGCAAGTAGATTGGAAGCATTCCAATGTCACAATAATGCTGTATTTGACCTTGCTTGGATGCCCAAAAACATGAATTTTATAACTGTTTCAGGTAAATTAAACATAATTAAAATTTCATGTGTTATTTTGTACTTGTGAATTATGATACTTAAAGCCAGGCAGCTGCAATGGACTTCAGCAATGCCAGGGACAGAGCCAAGCTGCTGCATTGATTTTATTGAATTATTATTATTCCACCCAGTGTCTTGCAATCCACACAGATATAACCATTATTACAAATAAGAAAAAAACAAGAATTTAAACCATATTTTGGAGATTCAAAATGTTCAGAGCAAAGGGACTTCTAATTCAAATCAGGGTGACCTCTCTGAATACACATATTATGTCACATAACTATTAAGATAAACTTTGGAAGGCTATTTAACATCTTAACCCACATGTGGAAATACAGTAGAGTTGTTTGACAGGGGATTAATCGATAATCAATATCATTAGCTGGTCTGATCTGGTTTATCTACACCTCCCAATTTTAGTGTATTGAAAACTTTTGAAACATTAATTATAAAATAAACATTCCAGGAGACCACACGGCTTGTCTGTGGGATGCAGCAGAAGGTTCACCTAAAAGAGTACTCGTGTTCTCGAGCCACACGAAGTCTGTTAAAATTGCCGTATTTCGGCCCATGGAGCCGTCGGTGTTCGCCACCGGCGCGAGGGACGGCCACATCCTCATTTGGGACATCCGAGCCTGCAACCAACCCACGCTGGTTTTAAAGCCAGACAACTGCCTCATGAACTGCCACTCTAACTTCGCGCCGAAGACTCCCTCCTCGCACGGCAAGCGACCCCGAATCGACGGCCACCGCGCCGTCAGCATCACCGGGCTCGTGTTCCAGGACGACGACACGCTGCTGTCCTGCGGCGAGTGCGACGGGAACATCAAGGCGTGGGACCTGCGCAAGAACTACAACGTGTACAAGCGGGAGCCGCTCCCCAAGCACTCCATTCCCTACTGCGGCAGCTCCGCCAGGAACGGCTACAGCAACCTCGTCATAGACCACTCCGGCGTGCGCCTCTACGCCAGCTGCATGGACGACGTCATCTACTGCTTCAACCTCGCGGCCTACAACCCGCTGCCCGAGCGCCGCTACGTCGGCCACCACAACGGGACCTTCTACGTCAAGAGCGGGCTCAGCGCCGACGGGGCCTACCTCGTCAGCGGCAGCAGCGACAAGTACGCCTACCTCTGGAACGTCAAGTGGAGCGAGCCCCTG